CCCTCGTTAAATCCTGCCCCAAACACAAGCTCACCACTTGCACATATCTTCCCTAAGCTCTCAGACTTACAGTGAGAGATCTTCCTTTCCAGTAGGTAGCCTGTGCTTCCCTGTGATGCGACTGTGACACCTGACCCTGCTATTCATCTCCTGTGGGATACACTCTGTGTTGGTCGGACCTCCTCTAGGGCATAGTACTGTAGCTCCTCAGCATGAAATCAGTGGAGTCCTGTGCTCAGGAGGGATTTTAGGAAAACTTGGTGGAACTGGTGACAGCTGGTGTAATGGGATTAAGGTGGCTGGTCTGGGTTGCACGGGCCTAGGGAGCCATCCACCTGGGAGGCCTTGTGCAGTCTGAGTTTTAGCTCAAGGGTTCCCTCACTTGGCTGCACCCCAGAACCCCCAGGTGCATTCAGTCCCTAAGGTTCTAGATATGTATGTGGATAGTTTGCAAATGTCCCCAGTTACTGCTGGCCTGGGCAGATTCCACTGGGAAGTCCTTATAACTCTGAGCCCAGTGTGAGAGAATGGGAGCCCTAGAGCAAGGACTATTAGAACAGTGGTGCCCTATAGAGCTCTTCATCTAGGTGAGAAGTGGCTTGTAGGGTCCTGGGGAGTGTGCACCTCTAGAGATGAGGTCTGCCCATCCCTGTCCCATGGTTCTGGTCTGGCATGGGCACTGGACTACCAGGTTGTTCCAGATCTTTGCACCCTTTGATGGGAGCAGTCACATGGCCCAGGAGCACAGGCCTGCTATCCATGGGAGCCTAGCAGGGCAGGAGGATTGACTGATTGTGCCTCTCACTTTGTGTTTCAGTGGCATCCCAGAGACTGTGCATCTGTCCATGTCAACAGACAGTGCTCATCAGGGCTGTAGGCAGTGGCCAACATAGCTGATAATTTAGTTCCCAGGATACCAGTTCCAGATACCTGGAACTGAATAATAGCTTTTGTCAATAGAAAATGAGCTCCAGCCTGGAGCTGGGGCCACTGTGGCCTGGATTGCTCAGTTTCTGAGGTAACCGCTTCTACCTTTGGGTAAGCCACTGTGAATCTTGAGTGAGTCACGGCCCCTTAAAATTCAGCCCGTTGGAAGCAGGGATCAGGATGGACATCAGATGTCAAAAGATGTCAGGGCAACCAGAGTGCTTGAGATCCTGCTTTTTGGACCCAACCTTTCACCTGCTTTTGGAATGGGAAAACCTGTGTTATCCAGACCAGAGCCAAGACATACAGGTCTGTGGGACTGGGGCAAAGGTTTTCTGTGGCCTGATTTTTATTCCAAACAACCTGTTGCTTACTTTTGGAAGTGTGGACTCTCCTCCTCTATCAGGTAAATGACCCACGAAAACCTTGAATCGTTTCTACATGTAGGCTCAGAACCAATTGTCTTTGTCCTTTGAGCTTCATGAAGTCAAAATAATAGGGACATTAGCCACTGAGAGAACAGCAAAGGAAATCAAATCTCTAGGAACTGGCAGAGGCTCAGACTGCTGAACCTGCATTTCAGGGTCTCCCACTCCCTGTCTCCAGAACAACCCTTTAGCCTCATCTCCTGACTTCTCACTCATGTGACTTTTCTCCTTTCAGTTAAACTATCTGCCTCCTTCTGTCCTCTCTACTTTGCCCATTCTGTCCCCATGGAGAGCTGCTCCTACCTGCTTTCTCTGCCCTAGCTAAATCCTGCACCAAATACAGTCTCACTACTTGCACATGGCTTCCCCAAGCTCTCAGACTTACAGTGAGAGATCATCCTCTCCAGTAGGTAGCCTGTGCTTCCCTGTGATGCGACTGTGACACCTGGCCCTGCTATTCATCTCCTGTGGGATACGTTCTCTGTATGTTGGTCAGACCTCCTCTAGGGCACAGTACTGTAGCTCTTCAGCATGAAACCATTGGAACCCTATACTCAGAAGGGATTTTGGAAAAAGTTAATTGGAACTGGTGAAGGGTGGTAACCAGTGTTTTGGGATTAGGGCAGCAGGTCTGGGTTACACAGGCCTAGGGAGCCATCCATCTGGGAGGCCCTCTGAGGAATCTGGCCTGGGCACTAGCTCAAGGGTTCCCAAGCCTGGCTGCAGCCCAGAACCACCCGGTGCATTCACTCCCTAAGGTTCTAGATATGTATGAGGATGACCTGGAAATGTCTCCAGGTACTGTTGGCCTAGGCAGTTTCCACTGAGAAAGTCAGCCTTCCTAACTGCAAGCTGAGCCCAGCGTGACAGCATGTGAGCCCTACTATCCCTTGATAGTAGAACAATGGTGCCCAGCAGAGTTCTTTATCCAGGTGGGAGCAGACCCACGGGGAGAGAATGGAATGTGAGAAAAAGACTTCCAGGTTACTAGTAAGGCTGCGGAGGGTGGGGATGGGTGCTGGCCTCATATTCGAGACTTGGCTTTTACTCTGGTGGCCTGTCCCAGGAAAAGCTCACGGCTCTGTTCTCCAGGGGAAACAGAGAGACCTAGTTGTGTTTCTTCAGTCACCAAAAGGAGGAAAAAGAAGGACCTCTATGGCCCAATCAGGCTTCCCCACCTCAGTTGAGGAGAATTGTAAGATAGAAGAACATGTGCTTATGGGGTCCTGGGGATCGTGCACCTGTCCCATGGATCTGGTCTGGCATAGTCACTGGGCTACCAGATTGTTCCAGATCCTTGCACCCTTTGATGAGAGCAGTCACATGGCCCAAGAGCACAGACCTGGTATCTAAGGGAGCCTGGAAGAACAGGGGATTGACTGTGCCTCTCACCTTCTGTTTCAGTGGCATCCAAGAGACTGTGTCTCTATATACTGTCAAAAGACAGTGCTCAGGGCTGCAGTGCTCCAATGGTTTCATGCTGAAGCCAACATAGCTGGTAAGTTGGGACTGAATGGTGCTGTTGGCCAGGGTCTGGGCTTAGTCTTGCCCCTGAGGGTTAGGATCAGTGATGTTGCTGTCTCCTGAGCCAGTAGTAAACATCTGAGAGGACTCTGAGCACAGAAAGTGTACAGGAGCTCCCTTTGCCACTGCCCCACACCTCCAGGACACCCCTGGGTATTTGTCTCTGGGGCTGGGCTGTGTGGTATCTAGAGAGAGAACAGGTAGGACAGGGGCTCTGCTGCTCCCAGGACAAACAGACCTAGGTCAAGGATGGTTATGAAATACTTTTGTTGCAGGTGGCATCAGAAATGGGTCTTATGACATTGGCATGGCCTGTGGGTAAGAATTTCTTTCTGCCAGAGCTCCTTAACCAATGGTGACAATCAAACTACTTTCCCTCTGCTCAGTTCTCAGAGGCCATGATTTGAGGATCATTCCCTGGTTCCCTTAGGCAGCTGGCTTAGTGTAGGTCCCTCTTGATGCAGCCTAGGAGTGGTCCCCAAATCTGGCTACTCAGGAAAAAACCCTACCTGAGCACTTGCAGGTGAGGACAGATAGCCTCTAAGTTTCTTCTCACATTTTTTCCTTTTTTACTGCTTTGGATAGTGAATGCCAGAGGGTGTGACTAGGGAGCTACATTCTAGATCTTTTTCGTTTTTGAGGGAAGATCTTGCTAAATTCCTCTCATTGATCTGAAACTTGCAAACCTCATCTTTAAGTCTCTTTGGTAGCTGAATTACAGGTATGTGCCATCACACCTGGCTCTCTTGAAAATTTTTCAGGCTTGAAAAAGTCTCTGTTCTTTGGAAAAATAAAGCTGAGGAGGCTTTGGCTGCCTCAGGAGGTAAGTAGCACTGGTTCTGACCTTTTGGGGCTGCCTTGGGATCCTTTCTGCATGTTTCTGGACAGTAAGCATCACTGGCCCTTGACCAGGGCTGAGATGACCTCCACTTGGTTGCCTGGCCTGTGTCTTAGTTGGAAGAGATCCAAAGTCTACAAACAGGGACTCTGGCAGGGCGAAGGTCACTGCATTCCCCTGCCATTTAGTGTCTCTCACCTTCCCTGGTCTCACTGTGCAACAGATGCAAGTGACGTAAGAAGCATGACTGGAGCCTCATAAGTTCCTCTGGAGGCATTTGATCACCAAGCAGGTTAAGAACTGTAATTCTGAGAAATCTTGGATCTTAGTGTCTGAGGGGCAGGGACAATACCACTGGCACTGGCACATGCTGACTATTGCCAAGAGTTGGAGGGTGAAGTATTGCTCAGGCCAGTCTAGCTGGGAACAAGCTCTTGGCCTAGAATGCCTTAATTATAGTCTAGAATGGGTGACCATGACAAATTACCCACCATTTAGGACCTCAGAATTCTCCTCTATAAAAGGGGATGCCTACCTCAGTTCTACCAAGGTTTTTAAGAGAATTAAATAGAATGATGGAACACTATGTGGCTCACACTGTAGCACTACTAACACATGAAAATAATTCAAATTAGCATTATAGACATGGGAACACTATCAGGGCCACCAGTTGTCATTCTATAGGCCATATGCCTCCTCAACTCACAGTCCATTTTGAGGACAGTACAGCTGTCTACACTGGCCACTGTGCTTTCCTGTCAAGGCCATCACACCTCCTTTTCTGTGCAGGTCAGGTCCCTCTTGGATGTGATCATTGTACTGACTTCAAACACATTTGCAGTCCACATCTGGTGGACTCTGAGGGCAGGCAAGGGCTGAAAGGATGTGATCCCCACACTGCAGCCCTCACTAGAAGCCTTTCTGTGAGAACTCACAATTCACTGTTTCAGCAGAATTATATAGAACATCATCCTGCCCCTGGAGTGTGGAGAGTGAGTGATCAGAACAGACCCAGCTGAGGAAAGAGGATGGCACAGGCAGAGGAGCAGATCAGCGGGGCAGGGACATGGACCCAGAGGTTCTGAACAGCTCCTGGGATGGAAGAGCCCCCTCCAGGGCAACGGTTTTGGCCTAGGCCCTGCATTATAATTCCCAGAGCTAACACAAAGGATAGGCCATACTACCATGAAGACTACAGCAGTTTAGACTCTCTACTCAGATGGAACATACAGAAGTCCAACAAGGAAAAGAAACACTCTTAGAAAAATCCATAGCCACCAAGATGAGATAACACATGTTTATTATGTCCATTGTACCCTCATTCAAAGGGCCAAAATTCCCTCGGAATTACATGGGGGCTTTGTGGGCTGGGTGACCCACACTGGCCCAGCTAGAGGGGGCCTGGTGGTAAGGCCCAACACCTCACCCACTCATGTAGTGTGTCATCAGTGTTCACAGTTTCCAAATTAGTTAAAGTGCCTTGATTTGTCCCCATCACCACCACCAGTGCTGAATGTCCCACGTGGATTCGCTTCCTCAGAGTCATTTTCTGGCTGCCAGAGCAGGGCCTTCTGGGTAGTGCCTTGAGCCAGGGACTCAGTTCCCAGGGTATTCGAAGACAGCAGCAGCTCCCATCCCAGTGCCAACGCACATGGACACCACTCCATATGCCCTGAGAAAGGGAACTAGGTTGGCTGGGCACAGGCACTCTGGGAGAGGCCCAATACCCTGACCAGAGGCCCAACTCCCTGACCAAGGACATCCTAAACAGAGGATGCAAAACCAGAAGACCAGATCTGTGGGAAATCTGTCCCCTGACTGCCCACCTAGGCACACACTCACAGTGGCAGATGCCCTCTGTAGGCCAGAGGTCCTTTTGAGGCTGACCCTCAGGGACAACAGGGATCATGTCCCTATATGCCCAGTTCAAAGTGCATGTTGAACTCCCAAACCCTCACCCTTCCATGCCCCAGTTCAGCATCCCCCATGACACCCCACATCACTCCAAGGGGAACAGCCTCACCTCTTCCCACGGCGCTTCAGCTCGTTGAGCAACGTGATGACCTGTCGAGCCCCAGTGCAGCCCAGGGGGTGGCCCAGGGCCACCGCTCCTCCCAGAGGGTTCACCTTCTCAGGGGGGATTCCTAGCTTCTCCACACAGTAGACAGCCTGGAAAGGAGCCAGAGCAGCGCCTGGACACGCTGGCCCCCTCCCCTGCATGGCTTGTCCACTGGCTCCCACTGGGTGCCCAGGGCTCAGGCAATGGGGAGACTAAGACTCACCTGGCTTGCAAAGGCCTCATTGATCTCAAAGATGTCCACGTCATTCACTGTCAGTCCTGCAAGCAAGATTTAGATCTGAGATGATAGAGGCCCCCAAGCACAAATCTGGGTCTCCCCAGACCTCCAGCCATGCACAGACCCACAATGCCTAGTAATATGTCTGTCACTTCTGACAAGTGAATGGGTCTCAGCTGTGGGTCATGAAGGCCTTGGGTATGGAGTGCTAGCCTGCCCAACCTCCACTCTGCAGTACCCATAGGAACACCCTAGTAGTCACCCCCAGCCCCAGCAGCAGGGCATGAGGGGACCCAGGACTAGGGTCTGAAGGAGCCACCTGACCTGCTTTCTCCAAGGCTGCAGGGATGGCATATGCAGGTCCGATGCCCATGACATCAGGTGGGACTCCAACCACTGCATAGGACCTCAGGACCCCGAGGATGGGGAGGCCCAACTCTTCTGCCTTGGACCTCCGGGCCAGCAGGACTGCAGCTGCCCCATCACTCACCTGGCTAGAGTTTCCTAGGGAGGAAGTATTGGGGTAACGAGGCATCAGGGCAGAGCAGAGGAGAACCAGTTCTCCCACGGGCCCCTTCCAAGGGATCTGGTCTGCCCCAGACTTCATAGCAAAAGAGCCAGCCTGATGATAGTCCCTGGAGGCAGCCCTACTCCAGCATCCTGGCCTGTACTCACCAGCCGTGGTGGAGCCGCCATCCTTGAAAGCAGGCTTCAGTTTGGCCAGGCCCTCCATGGTGGTGTTGGGGCGGATTCCCTCATCCTGGGACACAGTGATGCTCTTCTTGATGCCCTTGTCATCGTGGATGGTGGTGGTCACAGGCACAATCTCAGCACGGAAACAGCCCCTGCTCTGGGCTCTTGCTGCCCTGCCAGCAGCAGACAGCCAGGCTCAGGCTCCCCTGGGGCGCCCTTCCTCCTGTCCCCACTCTGGCCCATTGTGGCAGACATGCAACCTCAGCCTGCTAAATTCAGGGACATGTCTGGTCCTAGGGGACATTGGAGGGATCAGCTGGAGGTCCTGAGGAAACCCTGTTGTTGGGAGGGGGAGGCTTGTCTAGGGCCATCCAGAGCATCATTTACTATCAACCCCAGATGTCCACATCATGGTTGATTTAAAACTCAAGGGGGGAGAAAGAAGCTTTTGGGTTGTGTTTACTTCTTAAAGCCCTTCATCCAAGAGCTGAGCCTGTCAGTTTCTTCTGCTCCACTGAGGCTGGAATCCCAGGAACATTTGTGATGACTTTTTCCAGCTTTCCTGGGTGACCCCACATCTGAATTTCCTCCCTTTCCCAGGTTCCTCAAATCTGAAGTGAAATATCCTAAACTCCTTGATGTCTCTTCCAATTCAAACAGAGTTGAACCCCAAGGCATTTTAGAGTTACCTTTACAACTTTATGCAAACTATAACACTTAGGGGCATTTCAATGGGAGGAACCCAGAGCTTCCTGCAAAGCCCACATGCCCACCTGACCCAAGAGGTTAACAGTCCCTGCCTTGGAGAAGCCCACCTGGCTTTGCTGTCCTTCCTCAGCTTGGTCGGGGTTGGCCAAACCTGTCTGCTGATACCCTAAGGCTGAGCCCCAGGTTTTCTGCCCTAGGCTCAGGATGTTTGCCCTGACACAGGCCCGCTCCAGAAACTAGGGTGGCTAGTCCAGAGCATCGTTGACCCCACACTCTAGGTCCCCAGGAAGCCTCTGGCTGCCCCATTGAGTTCCTGAGCAGCAGCTAGACATGATCTGGTCCTCATTATGCCCCAAAGAACAGAGGGTAAACTGAAGCCTAGGTAGAAAGAAGGTCCTCAGCATGGACAGTCAGCAGGGGAACAGGGAAGAGCCACCAGCTCAGAATGGCACTGCCCCCTTTCCATTCCCCAGCTGGGAGGCAGGAGGCTTGTAAACCCCTAGTACATAGCTGTACTCTTGGGACACATCCACCTCAGACCTCAGACCACCCAGGATGGCCTCACAACCTCACCCTCCAGTCTTTTTAAGGTTCTACCCCAAGCAGCACTCACTTCTGCTGGGAGGCGAGCGCAAAGGTATCCTGCTTCTCTCGTGAAATGCCAAACTTCTCAGCCACGTTCTCTGAGGTTATCCTAGGACAAAAGTTGTACCCAGCTGGGCATAAGGCTGGCAGCATGAGGACCAGGGCCATTCATGCCACAGAGACAGTATTGAGGAATCAGGCAGTGGCACTCCATTTCCAGCATTGGAATGGGACAGACAGGGAGTCGCCAATGCTGGCCAAAAGCTCAGAGTTCATACACCAAAGACACCCCACTCACAAAAGAGGGAGGGCAGCCTGCATTGGCAGCAGAGCAGAAGAGAATGTGTTCCCTGGGTGAGCTGCCTCAGCACAGGGGAGAGGGGAAGGAAAGTTTATCGGAGGGACCTACTTGTGAATGAACACCTCAGAGGGGGCATGACAGAGCAGGATATGTTTAGAAACTCAGGCTCAGAGAAGACTTGAGGACCTCAGAAACAGGAAGCACTGAGTGCCATGCTGAGTCTCTGAAGAACAGATGCTACACACAGGAAGCAGGCCAAGCCTTAGCATTGGCAGGCACAGATGAGAAAGTTCCTCAGCCCCGGCTCCTGGAGAGATAGAGCTGAGGGGGCACAGGCACACAGAGCTATGGACAGGCACTCACCCCATGGGGATCAAGCAGTCTCTGGCCTTCTCATTCTCCAGCAAGCGTGAAGTGATATTTCCAGGGTTTCCTCTGTTAGCCAGGGACATGGACTCCACCCTGAGGAGAGGGAGGAGAAGGAGGGAGTTGAGTCCTAACAGGAACACATCCAAGGATAGGGGACATGTGGCAAGTGTTGGGAAACAGCCAGGGAGCCCTCGGGAACTGCAGTGCCCTGTCTGGGAGGCACAGACAAGCGAGGTGGAGCTGGGGCTGGGGAGCTGCTGAGCCTCGTCTCTATCTCCACCCCAGGACAGTGTATACTGCACAGTCTGCACTCCTGGGTGCAGGGGCATGCTTCTGTATACATCTGCTGAACCAGCCAATTAGAAGTTCCTGAGGAAAGCTTTCTAGTGTATACCACATTGCTACAAACATATCCAACATGCCCAGGCCCTGTCCCCACCAGGGTCCACAAATTCAGAGGGAAGAAGGCCCAATAAGCTCATATCAAAGAGCAACCTGACCTGCACAGACAAGGAGGTGCAATGTTCTGAGAGGAAAGTGAGGTGGCTAGTGCAGAAGGATCAAGAAGGACTGGGGAAAGGGAAACCCTAAAAAATAGTAACAGATGACCTTGACTAGTACTTTGAGTTCCTAGCATTACTTTGAACTCTTTTCAGGCTTCAAATAGTACCCACCCCATGATATGTACCCTATAGTGTTAGCTTGGTTATGATTCCACTTTCT